ACCTTCAACAGCCATAGCTCTGTCGGCTTGAACTCTTTTCTTGGTGATTTCTGCTAGACAGAATTTATCTTCGCTTCTGAGATACTTGAATACACATGCATCTCCTTCACATATGTCATTATCTCGCAGGAATTCACTCCACCCCTTCGACAAATAATACCTTGTATAATGACCCCCCTCTGAAAGTAACTTTACCGGCCACTCAATTCCGTCAAGATTCTTCATAATTATTGTTCTTCCTGCAGTCAATCTGATCAATCGTGCAAATTCCAACGGAAACCGCTGATGCCAACAAAAGTTATTATCATTATTTTGGAATAAAAAATCTACAGATTATATATGATGAATTGTGATGATACTTATTACCCCACATCTTACCAAAGCAAATTTTTGTTTTCCCTTTTTAGGTATAACCTTCGTAAAGCAAGGATCCCCGGCATCCCCATCAATATCATCATCTTCTTCTTCATCATAATCATGTTCAAGCGGGAAAGCTTTTTCACACCCATTGGTACCGAAAACCAAGAGCTTGAAGATGGAGCGACCAAGGAGCCAAAAGACAAGAAAATCCCCAAACTCCAACCGGGTATCTTCAACTACCTGTTTCCATCCATCAGCAAAGCAGTAAATATCACCATCTTTTTTTATCTTCAATCTCCATGAATAGCCTCCATTTACAGATCGGAGTGTTGCGTTCTCAGGGATGTTGTTCTCCAAGTGCTTGCGGACAAAACCAGTTGGCAATGGCTGCAATAAACGATAATAAAAAATTAATGCTAATGCATGATATGATGCGAAAATTACGAGGAACGAAAATTGAAATTGGGGTCGTTGATTGAAGTAGATGAGTACCAGGTGAGTAGCGGAACAGTCGAGCATGATCTTGAAGAAGGAAGGGATCCCGCGAGGGCGAGGGGCCATTTCGTTCGATTGATGAAGTTAGAAGACAGAATGAAATTTGAAGTTGAAGAGAGAAAGAGGGAAAATTAAGGCAACTATAAATTACAAAATTCGTATCTCTGTCCAAACCCAAAAAGTATTTCAATTTTCCGTAAAAAACCCACAAAACAAAAACACTTTTATTTTCTTTTCCCTCTTATTTTAATTATAATCTCGTAATAATAAATTTCAAAATTCGTATTGTGCTTTTGTTTGACTTATTGACTTAAGTTTTACGTTCCAATTAATCTGAACACAATGTATATTTGTTGATAAAAATAGAATCCAAAATAATTAAAACCGAATATTTTAATTAGTAACAAATGTTATCGTGATGTGCTTTCGTCAATATGTTTCTATATTTTTCATCCCTCGACGACTCTTGCATTCACCACTTATGAAAAAAACCTCACCCAACTCAACTTAATTTTTTGGGAATGATTTCAAAAAGAACTATGGAAACACTCTATACAATGACTGCTTCCACATTATGTAGATATTGTGTTTGTAAAGTTTGTTATGAGAGCTTGTCACTACCTGTGTGTGTAAATATAATATACAAATTATAATATTCATCTACAAATAAACATATCAACCGGTTCAAATCAAATTACCGGCAAAGATATTATGGGTATTGTTATGGGTTATTATTTTTTGATTGCTCAAAGTGGAAGATGGAATGGGGATGTTGACTTAAGATCTACTACTATATGGTTGGGCTTTGGCTTTAGAGCAAAAGAAGATGTACTCTTATGTTAGACGTGAAAATCGATTTCCTACATGAAATAAGAAATATGGTCAGCTGCTAGTTACTACATCTTGGAAAGGTACATCCAATAAGTATTAATTAAACATTTTACTACATTATACAACAAATAAAACATTTTAACATTGATGATTGAAAATTGATTTTTTTTCTTTTGAACTAGTTCCATATCATGGGCCAATTAAATGGTTGTATCAACAAGTTAATTACTGCCCAGGCCTTCTAGTTATTTGGGTCATCAGGAGCTACTTAACAAACGGACTATTATCATGAAATTTATAAGTGGGCCATTGTAATGACTAAAAGAGTTGGATTGATTTTAATTTACATGAAGCTACTGGTCCGAGTTTAAAAGTATGGTTAAATACCATACTTTGGAATATTTGTATCGGTTAAAATTGTATTGTTTTTCGAAAAATTGATTATAAATAGTTAATTATATGTTGATTTTTTTATAAAAGTGTCAAAGGGTGTCTTATTAACATCATTGCATCACCCTTAAAATAAAAATGGTGGAAACTTTAATTAGTTTGATATGAGGGCTCAACGGATATTCACCCTACGATTTATCGAAGGTAAAACAGTTAATAAGGATTTAAATATCATTTGGATCTATTTATGGTTCAGTTTAGTTAATGGATAATGACTTAAAAGGGTAATATACTTTTCGATTTGTACACATTTAGTCACTAAGTTTTTTTTTTCGTCCACATTTACCCATTTAACTTGTTAAACTGTACACATTCAGTCCTTATGACCGGCTACTCCAGGTTAGCCGGGAAAAATGACTTAATAGGGTAATATATTTCTCACTTTGTACACATTTAGTCCTTAATATTTTTGTACACATTTAGTCCTTAATTTTTTTCTTTTTTGCAAAATAAGTCATTTTTGTTTTTGTACTCATTCAGTACTTATGAACGATTTCTTTAGGTTTTTATCACGAAATCTTACATGGGACATTCATTAATGAGGTGTTTTGGGCTTTTGATGCTTATGTCCATCGCGATCTCGACTACTTGGTTGCTTATGTCATGTGTTCTGAACGCCATAACTTCTTCATACGATCTCGGATTTTAACGATCTTTATATCCATGTGTTCATATTTTAGTCTACTACAACTTTCATTTAGATTACTCCTATTAAAAAATAATATATTTTTACTTACGATTTTTATCTCCATAAGCAGGGTGGATTTAGCCTAGTCCCTGTGTTGCACTAGCAACACCTGTTTTTTCTTTTCGCAATGGAAAAATATTCGATTTTTTTTCGTTTATACCTATTTTTCATGTATCGGCAACACCTATTTCATCTCGGCAACACCTACTATGTATTCATGCGTCCGCCCCTGTTCAAACATTTTCTATGAATGCATGTATGGATGTTTTTTTTTTATAAAATCGTAAGTAAAAATATATTCCATTTTAACGGGAGTAATCTTAATGAAAGTTGTAGTAGACTCAAAAAATGAACACGTGGATATAAAGATCGTTAAAATCTAATATCGTATGAACAAGTTACGACGTTCAAAATACAAGACCTAAGCCAAACCACAAGACCTACGCAACCAAGCAGTCGAGATCGCGTTGGACATAAGCATCAACAACCCCAAACACCTCATCAATGATTGTCCCACGTAAGATGTCGTGAGAAAAACCTAAAGAAATCATTAATAAGTACTGAAGGAGTACAAAAAATGACTTATTTTGAAAGAAAAAAATTTTGAAGGACTAAATATGTACAAAAATATTAAGAACTAAATGTGTACAAAATAAAAAATATATTATCATATTAAGTTATTTTTCTCGGCTAACCTGGAGTAACCGGTCATAAGGACTAAATGTGCACAATTTAACAAGTTGACGGGGTAAATGTGGACGAAAAAAAAACTCAATGACCAAACGTGTACAAATAAAAAAATACATTACCTTTGTAAGTCATTATCCACAGTGGCGGATCGAGACGAGAAGTGAACTGGGGTCCATTCATAACATCTTTATTTGTTGCCTCATAAATATTTTCTCTTTTAACAGTGCAAATTATACAATCATTTCTAAACTCATCCGAAATTTGATTACACAGTTTAACCATCTTTTTTCATTTCAAAACTAACCAAAACTAATAAATTTTTTTGGCTGTATTTCCATTATTAAATATCTAACACATTGGCTTTTCCATCAACAACTCATAAAAGTAAATAAAAGTAACTCAATCAAAATCAGAAATTAGAAATTAACTGGATGCATACTAATATACAGAGGGGTTATTAACTTGAAAAAAAATATTTATATACATATAAATATGGTGGGAATTGCAGTCAAGTGGGGTGTATGGACCCCACTCCATACACACTACATCCGCCACTGATTATCCATTTAAATGGGCTTTGGTAAAATTCAGTCTTAATCGAGTCCGATTAATTAAATGGGGAAATGGGAAGTAGTATTTAGACGTTATATTTGTATTTAAGGAGCATATAATGAATGTGGAGTTTATGTCTATTGTCTAATATTGGGTATTTCTAGACTAGACAACTTTATGAGAATCAGCGATTATTGTTCAACCAACTTTATGGGTATTTTCCGTCTAGTTACTTGCTAGGCTTGGGCCTATGTTCTTTTAATACAATTATTTGCCGGTTCCAAAAAAAAAAAAAAAAAATTCCGGTAAAGAGGATTGAGACAAAATTCAAAATTAAAAATGTGAAAGAGTTAGTTGAGACGCAAAGGTAATGTTTAACAAAATCATTTGTAGTTATATGAAATCCATTTAATGAAAAACTTCATTTTTACTTTAGTAAACCATGTATAATGTATTTAAATAGAGTTATACAATCTGTTATTTCATTTGTAGTTGTTTTAGAAAGAGTTTGTTTTTTTCACAAAAAAATGGGTATTTGGGAAAAACTTTGTAATGGGACGATGAAGGTCTAATGCAACCTTTTAGCCTATGTATGCCACAATCTTGTGATGGTAATGTACTTTCTAATCGCCACATGTTTAGCAATGTACTTTATGATATTGACTTTTATAGCAAAAAAATTTCTTTTTTATCTTATTTAGGACCATTATGTCTAATTATGGTTAACCGATGCCCAAAATCCAAACCATTAACCGATTAAAACCATTTACCAAAACCATTACTAACCAATGACCAAAATGCATATATACGACTCTAAAACATACCTAATATTCATATAAATAAGTAACGTTTCTAACATCGAGAACATATTAAATAGACTTGTTTACATCATATAAGTTAGTCGACTATAATAATTTTTTGTTAGGATTTCTTATCAACATGAGCCACCGGCCGGCCGCCCTCTCTTCTTCTTAAATGGCCTTCCACGTGGTCTCTTCACCACCGTCACACCGCCGTTTTTACTCTCCACCTCCACACGCCTCGGCCGCCCTCTCTTCCTCTTCAATCCTTCACCCACCGGAGCTTTGCCATCTGGCGGCTCTGGCTCTGTGGACTGCACCTTTTTCTCCACACACGGTGGCCGACCTCTTGGCCTCTTTAAAACATGGGCAACTTCAGCCACCGGAACGTTGCCATCTGGCTCTGTATACTGCACCTTTTCCTCCACCACCACCTTTGCACGCGACGGCCGACCTCTCGGTCTCTTTAAAACTTTTCCGGCGGGCTGTTCCACCACCACAGGTGCCGCCCGCCCTCTCAGTCTCTTCAGAACTTCAACAGCATCTGGAACTCTTTTCTTGGTGACTTCTGCTAAACAGAGCTTATCTTCGCTTCTGAGATACTTGAATACACATGCATCTCCTTCACATAAGTCATTATCTCGCCTGAATTCACTCCACCCCTTCGACAAATAATACCTTGTATAATGAACCCCCTCTGAAAGTAACCTTACTGGCCACTCTTTTCCTTCCAGATTCTTCATACTTATTGTTCTTCCTGCCTTCATTCTGATCAACCTGGCAAATTCCCGCGGAAACCGCTGATGCAAACAGAAGTTATTATTATTATCATTATTTTTGAATAAAAAGTTCTACAGATTATATATATATATATATATATATATTATATCTATAAATATATATATATATATATTATATATATGATGAATTTATGATAGTTATTACTAACCCAAATCTTACCAAAGCAAGGTTTTGTTTTTTAGATAAAACCATCGTAAAGCAAGGATCCCCGGCATCCCCATCAATATCATCATCTTCATCTTCTTCATCATGAATGTGATCATGATCATGTTCAAGCTTTATTTTTGGGGGGAAATCTTTTTCACAGCAATCTGTACCGAAAATTAAGAGTTTGAAAATGGAGCGACCAACGAGCCAAAAGACAAGAACATCCCCAAAAACCAATTGGGTGTCTTCAACGACCTGCTTCCATCCATCGGCAAAGCAGTAAATATCACCGTCTTTTTTGATCTTCAATCTCCAGGAATAGCCTCCATTTACAGATCGGAGTGTTGCGTTGTCAGGGATGTTGTTCTCCATGTGCTTGTGGACAAAACCAGATGGCAATGGCTGCAATATTGATAATGCTGATGCATGATACGAAAATTACAAGAAAAGAAAAATATAAACTGGGTCGTTGTAGTAGATGAGTACCAGGTGATCGACGGAACGGTTGAGAAAGATCTTGAAGAAGGAAGGGAGCCGCGGAAGGCGACGGAAAGGGGCCATTTGCAGAGGAGGGTTTTAGATTTATATATGCTTTATCAGTTCAAATATGTGGTGTAGTTGGTTTTGGGTTGAAAAATCGGGGTCCAATGGTGATTTCGTGGGAGAAAAAGGGGAGATTTATGTACCTGACTTTCGATTGATGAACCTCGAAGACATTCGGTTAAAGTTGAAGAAGAAATGGTGCAAAGGAGAAAGAGGGTGTGGCCGTGTGGGAGAGGGAAATGGAACTGAAGTTTGAACATAGAGTGTGGTCAACTGTCAAAGTAAAAGTAAATACAATTCTCCGTAAAAACACCAAAAAAACAAAAACACTTTTATTTTCATATCCCCATCTTGATTCCTAAAAAACGTAAAAATATATTCTTTGGAGATGTTGAGTCATTGATTGATCTAGCCTTTTCTTGATATACATTTATATTACTATTTTAAAATTTTAAAGATTGGAAAAGAATTAGCAATATTCTTTGTAGATGCTGAGTGATTGATTGATCTAGCCTTTTCATGATATACATTTATATTACTATTTTAAAATTTTAAAGATAGGAAAAGTATTAGCCAAAAAGTGTAGTTGTCATAATCGCGATCCTGATCGTAAAGATTGTACGATCTTAGTTATGAAAAATGAAAAATATCGTATCTAGGGTAGGATCGCAGATAGGATCGTAAGATCATAGAATCCGGATCCGATCCGATCCTACATTCACTTGATTTTTATTTTCAAATGAATTTTTTTACCACTTTATGTCTTTTACCATTTACCAATTTACCGTTTATCATTTTTTGTTGTGACTTATAACTAATATTTTGAAATTTTATAAATTTTGAGCGAAAAATTGAATTTTGAAATATTTTTGATGTTTTAAAATTATAATTTAAAATTATAAATTGAAAATATTATTTTTATTTTTTAGGATCTTAGTATCCCGATCCCGATCTTGCAAACCCAAAAACGATCATATGTAGGATCCCGATCTTGACAACCTTGAAACAACTAAAATTTTCAATCTAATTTATTTTCCATTTTGTATGAAATATTTCATTGATTTATTTTCCAATTTATATGAAATGTTTCATTGATTTATTTTCCAATCTGATTATGTTTTTTTTTATGTTTAATTATTTTATTGTAAATAAAACTATCATATTACTATATATGTAATTAATAATCGATATTAATCGAAATCACCGATTCAAATATATATTAATTAGATCTAAACACATTATTTAGTATTGATTTTAATTATTTGTACACATTTTTAAGCTTTTGATAATATTTTTTCGAATAATATTATAGGTTTTAAAATTAATAAAATATATTTGTTATCTTTGTACAACGAGTGATATTTTAATATATTAAATATATAATTTAATTCTTTTACACATTTCATAAAATAATTCATCGATCTCCGTTTTTAACAAAAAAATGATAAATTATCGGATAAAATATGTGAAACCGGCAAAAATACTAACTTGAATTTTTAAAATTTCGTATTTTTCTACAAAAATTTTAAAAACAAAAAATTAAGTAGGTTATTTTTGATATGATTCAATATTGATGACGAAGATGATGACGGTGGCAAGGTAGTGGTGGTGGTGTCGGCGGTGGTGTTAGAGGAAGCGGAGGAGGTGGTTGTAGCAATGGTGAAGGTGGTGGTGGTAGAAGTGGCGGATTGTGGCAGTGTGTGGCGGAGGTGTCGGTGGCGATACAACAGAGCCTTTTTGTGACAATGAATAAAAATTGTTCAGATTCATTGTCGTATTTTCGAAAAAAAAAATATCAACTGAATATATATATATATATATATATATATATATATATATATATATATATATATATATATCTATATATATATATAGTAGGTGACCCGCGCAATGCAGCAGCGACCATTGTTTCGCTTTAGCAAATATTTCAGGAGGTGATTCGTTTCCATTCCTCGGCCTTGGGCGGAAAATAATTTGTTTTTGGTAAATTGTTTGTTTATAGAGATTAGTTTCAGTTTGAAATATGTGATATCAAAAGAACTCATAATATATTGGAGTAATTACTGGAAATATAATCTAAATGATTAATACATAAATATATAATAAAATCCTATAAAAAATTATGCAAATAAAATATGACAAAATAGGCTATAAGTGTTCAGAATAGGATTAATCAATATTTTTTTGGTGCTGTTAAAATTCTTTTCTCTGTTTCTTACAACTTTTAATGGACATACTTTACCATTGAAAGTGTGATGCATTCCCACATACTTTACCGTGGAGATTGGTCGGTCGGCAGGTTGAAGGAGGTGAAACAGGTCGGACTGTAAAGTGTAAATAAATTCGTTTTTATCTTTTTAGTTTATAGATCTTATAATTTTTTAGTTTCGAAGTTGCGTTGATGTTTTCAAAGCCTTTATCTAGATACCAAATCTGTAATCACGTTATATCTCTACTACTCGGTTCATCTTTCATTGTTTTTGTTATCTTTTATATGTTTGTAGTTTGATAAAAAAACCGATCTAAAATAGTGGCCTAGATTTCGATCTAGTCTTTATGGCCGGATTAGGATCGGCTCATGAAACAAATTATATAACTTTTTATTAGTTTTTTTCATCATTTTTCTTAGTTAGACCGTTTTTTGTTAGTTTGACAACCTGAATATGGAATGACGATCTAGATCTTGATTTAGTTTCACTTCAGTCTGAGATCGTTGTCAGATTGGTTCGAATAATTTTCCTTGACTTTTTTTTTCGAAAATACAAAAAATAAAAGAGTATCATATTTTTCTACTAAAAACCCTGAATATATATAGTTACAACATATACATGGATTACTGAACTAACATTTGTTTAGTAATCAACATGAATACTACAAATCCAGATTTTATTTACACAAATGAGATATACATTTAACTTCCTGAAAGAAACCATTGGTCATACTACTTTGATCCTACACATTTAAAGCTAATGTTTTTTGGTTGTAAGATGTGATAAGAAGAATGAATATTTCAGAAGTGGTGGTGGTAATGTCGGCATTGGTGCAGTCATCTTGTAGATCTGGTGGCAATGGTGCCATGGTTGTTGTGCAATGGTAGAATCGTTTGTATTCTGATAGAAGCGTTGGTGAAGGTTGTATAGATGATAGATTTCTTGAAAGAGAGCTTATAGATTGTAAAGAGGGATATATGTAACACCTCAAATTTTAGATAGATTTTTTTATTTTTAAATTACAAAAACAGAATTTCACAACCAAGTCACCAAATACATAATTATCCCAAAACAACCAGTATCATAATTATCAGAGTTCATAAACATGTCCTAGTAGTAAAATCCCCCATCGCGTGTGTATAATCAGACCTTCGTCTTCCCGTGGCCCTGCGAAGTACCTGCCACATATAAATCAACAACTGTAAGCACAAAGCTTAGTGAGTTCCCCAATATACCACATACATCACAACATATATAAACAACTATGGGTTATCAGCTACCCTGAGGACTACCAGCAGCCCCGATGAGCTAACAACACGCTCGGTGGGTTATCAGCAACCCTGGTTGGCTATCAGCAGCCCCAGTCACATATAAATAGCATAACATAATCATAACAGCTAGACCCAGTTGGTCATCATAAATATAGCTATCCTATCATACATGTAAGAGTAAGTGAGGAGACTCACCTGATATTGACGACACGAAAACCTAGCACCCGAACTGTCGGATCTAGACTCCGCCTAGTTAACAAAATAATTAACCCTAATTAATAATTAAGGTCTAAAAACTCACTCGCGAGTCCAAATACCACGACTAAACCTTATAAGGGCAAAAAGGACCATTTTGCCATTCTCATGGTCCAAAAACCCTGAATCTTGACCAAGGTCAAAGTCAACACTCGGCGAGTACGTTGAGCCTACCACAACCTATGCGGGGCGTACAACTTGGATCAGCAAGATGACGGGGCTGGGACCGGCTACGCGGGGCGTAGCCAAGAGTATGCCCAACATACTCCGTCTGATCCCATTTCTACCAACTTATGTCTTAAACCCTTAAGACCATTACTCCCAAACACATATCTGGCCATTCTAATACGTCTAAAACCATAAAGTTATCAACTTTAAGCCTTTGCATGGCTAGAAAAGTCCCAAAGCAACATTCATAAACTCCAAAAACATTCTAAGCTATTTTTCTCATGCATGCACCAAAAGAAGTGATCAAGCTACCATTTTTATGCATCCACAAGTCCGATAATACATTAAAAGACAACTACAAACCCCTGGAGTTCCCCAAACTCATAAAGGTCTAATCTTTGGGGACAAAACTCTTAAAACTTCAAACATGGAGATCTGATGAAAGACTTGTCAAGGTACAAACTTTATACCTGAAAATGATGCACAAGGATGAGAGTTTTTTGGATCTACAAGCTTGCTAACACCCACATCTTCTTCTCTAGCTTCCTTCCTCAACTTAATGCACCAAAAACACCCAAATGAACTTGCAAGGCTCACACAAACACTCAAACTCGGGATTAGGGTTTAGGGAAGGTTTGGAGGCTAATAAGGGTGACCAAAAGACTATTATTTATAAAAACACTGAAATTAAATTTATAAAACCGTAAATTTTATTCAATTGTAACGTTGTACCTCAAAAACATTTCTTATTAAAACATTATACTTCAATTTTTACCCAATTATGGGAATACAAATTGTTGTAATTGGAGAAAATTCTCAAATACAATACTATAAAACCTAAAACCTATTGTTTTAAGAGAAATTGTTTACATATATAGAACCGAAACAAAAATTTGTTGTTAATTAGTCATAATTGAGCTAGTTATTTATTGTTATTGTTGGGTTATATGCATTATATATTAAAATAAACCAAATATTTGTACAATAAAGCCATTTATTTAATTAGAAGTTTAAATTTAAGTCAATCCACACACAAATGAAGAAAGAATTACATCAATTATGGTAAATGTTCAAAAAAGAATAATAAAAAAAACAATTGAACAAATTGATGAAG